CGGACTGGAAGCGGGCTCCGAATACCGCGCTGAAGCTAGACATGGCTAAGGCGTATGATAGGGTTGAGTGGCCGTTTCTTAGGGAGGCGTTGGCTAGGATGGGATTCCCTGAGCGTTGGATCAGCTTTGTGGAGGCGTGTGTGGAGCATTGGACGTTCTCGGTCCTGATTAATGGCAACCCCACCGACTTCTTTCCCTCCTCTAGAGGCCTTAGACAGGGCGACCCTCTTTCCCCTTCCCTCTTCGTTCTTGCGGTGGACTACCTCTCTCGCTGCCTTGACGGCTTCATCCGCGATTCTCCCCATATGACCTATAGCACCCGTGGCTATGGTCCTACCATCTCTCACCTCTCTTATGCGGATGACATCATTATCTTCACCCGGGCGGATGATGATGGACTGGTCGAGCTTATGCGCCTTTTGAAGCACTATGGCTTGGTCACCGGTCAGCTGGTCAGTGTGCAGAAGAGCACCTTCATCCTTTCATCTGCCACCGTGGACAGGTGGGCTCAGCGGGTCCACGACATTACTGGCTTTGCGCGTGGCGACCTTCCCATTACCTACCTTGGGGTCCCTTTATATAAGGGCAACCTCACGAGAGCGCTCTTTGCGGGCATCAGGCAGAGGATGATCGACAGGATCTCTGGTTGGTCGCATAGATATCTTTCCTTCGGTGGTCGGCTAGCGCTGATCAAGAGCACTCTTAGCTCTCTTCCGATTCACTTGTTTATGGTCCTCGACCCCCCTAGGTCTACTCTTGACGAGATTGACCAGATTATGGCTCGTTATTTCTGGGGTTATGAGGACGGGTCCGGGAGGGGGAGACGTACTCACTGGGTGAGTTGGGACTCTATCTGCCGCCCCCTCCCCGAGGGTGGCCTTGGCATTCGTCGCCTCAGGGACATTGTTACAGCTTTCTCATACAAGCTGTGGTGGCACTTCAGGGAAGGAAAGTCGCTTTGGGCTCAGTACCTTCGCGGCAAGTACTGCCCTAGACGTGCCAACCACCCTTGTTGGGTCACGGCTGTTGATCACGATAGCAGACAGTGGCGGCGCCTCACTAGGGTCGGGAGGCGAGCCCAGGATCACATCTTTTGGGTTTTAGGCAGGGGCGATGTCAGTGTCTGGGAAGAGTGGTGGGTAGGTGATAGGCCGTTGTCTAAGGATAGGCAGGTGTCGCATTCCCCCTACCTGATCGTGAGCGACCTCTGGACGGACGGGTCGTGGGATAGGGGGAAGCTTGATAGGGAGTTGGGGGCTGGTGCGGGTTTTAGCGAGCAGTTATTAGATCAGATCCAGCAGATCCCTATCTCGGGGGACGGTTCAGATAGCATGAGGTGGAGACTTACATCATCAGGTGTGTTTTCTACTACCTCGGCTTGGGAGCAGATAAGGCTGAGGGATCGGCCTAATCTCCTCTTCGGGGCTATCTGGAGTGACCTTTTCACGCCTACTATTTCGGTGTTCCTTTGGCGCCTCCTCTTGCGCCGGATACTCGTCGATACTGTGCTACACGTGAGAGGGATCTCCTTCCCCTCTCGGTGTGTGTGTTGCTCTGAGACTGGACGCCATGAGACTGAGACCTTTACCCACCTTTTTCTAGAGAGTGAGATTGTGAGGAGAGTGTGGGAGCATTTTGCCACTTGGACTCATATATCCCTAACCACCACATACAGTTTTTTTGAGCTCCTGAGTTTTTTCTCACAGAGCACACACCTTAGACACGTGGGCTTCCTCATTCCTTGTCTGATCCTTTGGTTCACCTGGACAGAAAGGAATAGTGCGAAGCATAGGGATATTACTTTTATGTTTTCTCACATTGTTTTGCAGGTAGAGAGATACATCTCACTCCTCACCGCATTGGGCAGGCTCACGGCCCGATACTGGACAGGCTGCACGCCACCGCATCGCTACATGGTGGCCCCACCACCGCCTGTTCGGCCTCCACGGGCCGGAGCTGTTGTTTGGCTTCGACCTGACTCTCCGTGGGTTAAGCTGAACACTGATAGCTCCTTTGATCGCCACACTGGACTTGCCGGAGGAGGAGGCTTGATTCGGGACCATAGCGGCGCCCTCATCATCGCCTTCCACGCGTCCATTCAGGCCTCCTCGAGCTACGATGCAGAGATTCAGGCACTACAGATTGGCCTTCAGATTGCTGTCCACCTCTCTAGTCATATATGGATTGAGCTGGATGTTGCGGCTGTCGCTACCCTTTTGACTTCAGGCCATCAAGGCTCGTGGCAGATTCAGCACCCGTTTCTGCGCATTTGAGATCTACTTCAGTCAGTCCATCACAGGATCACGCACATTTTCCGTGAGGGGAACAGACCGGCTGATTACCTGGCCAGCCTTGGCGCCACCATACCAGGCACACATACATTCCATACCGACACTGCTCCACTCCGTCTTCGCACTCTTGTACGGATGGACCAGCTTGGATATCCAGCTTTCCGCCTTCACTAGTATAGGATTTCTGTTTTCATTAGTATAGACATTTATTCCGGGCATCTGTTAGCCCGAAGATCGACCTTATATTGTAGTTTTTGTTTCTTTTTCGTTTTTCGGTTTTTCTTTCTTATTTTTCTTTTGTTTTTGTTTTTGATTGTCAGACTATGTAGACCTTTGTATCTTGTTCGTTGACATTTTGGGCTCAAACATTAAACCTAGCAGCAAAAAACAACTAACCTAGCAAGAAAAGACAACTAACCTAGCAGCTACAGATAACTAACCTAGCAGTCAAAACATAACTAACCTAGCACCGAGAAACAATTAACCTAGCAGCAAAAAATAACTAACCTAGCAACAATAAACGACTAAACTAGCAGCTAGAGATAACTAACCTAGCAGCAATAAACAACTAAACTAGCACCTACAGACAACTAACCTAGCAACAATAAACAACTAAACTAGCACCTAAAGATAACTAACCTAGCAACAAGAAAGAAGTAAGCTAGCAGAACCAGACAACTAACCTAGCAACAATAAAAAAACTAAACTAGCAAAAACAAAGAAATATCCCAGCAACAGCAAAAAACTAAACCCAGCAACAAGATAAACCTAAAATAATTGCACTACAGACAAATAAAAAAAATACCAACCTGAACAAAATCATCAGACATTTCCTTTTGTTTTGATTTTAATGACAGTAATGGCATTTGTTCCAAACGTTCCTCAACAAAACCTCAGCCAAAACCACCAATTTTGGCCTCAGCATTGGATCTCTTGCGCAACTGGTCACAGATCCAACCAATAAAGGAGGGCAGACTCCTTGGAACCTCACGATTTACAAAAGCAAGTCGATCAACGTATAAAACCTGCATTTTGGGAGAAAAAAAAATTATATATATATATATAAATGTAATGCATATTGTTTAAGAATAATATAAAAATACATTCTTACAACGAGAAAAAGAAGAGGCCCATTAAAAGCAGTCTTGTTGGTCTTTTCCCATTTCATTCTTTTTGAAATCAAACTTTGAAGAGTGTATTCACACCAATTCAAGTCAGATACACGTGTTATGTCATTAATGGACTTGAAGAAAAGTGGGTTGACATAACAGCAGATATTGATCCAATTATTAGAGCATCAACCAAAGCAGCAAAATGACAGCAGAACATTTCACCACCATCATGACACTCCAACATTTCCTTGCTCATATTTTCAGCAGTGATTTTATCATAAGATTGTGTAAACTTACTCCTCCAGTTATCCAACAGCTCACAAGACTCAGATTCCCTCTTTAATTCAATAGTCTTATCCCCTCTAGAAAAGCCTAATACCTTCTCCACATCAACTGATTCAATGTGGATTTTGCCCTCACTACAACGCAATACAGAGCTAATTGCGTCAAAATTATCCAACACCCAGAAAGATAAATTGGTTGGAATCTCTTTAATCTTAAGATGCAGCAAATTTCCAAACCCCATTTTCTGTACAGCTCTTTTCTGATCATCAATTAATTTGGCAATGGACTCAACCAAAACTTTTGGAGAAGACCGTGTTGAGAGCCTTGGGAAATGAATTTTAGCATCAGGCTGTCGTTGACGAGCTTCACGTACAGGCTTGTGAGATGAATCAGTCAGCAAAAGAATATCATCATCCCTCTGAGGCTCCATTTGTTCAAATTAAACCGAGTTACAAAAAAACAAAAAAAACAAAAAATGTCAAATAGATATAACAAACCTTGCATCAACAGAAAAGTAAACTTGCAACTAACCAAGCAATTACAGAGAACTAACCTAGCAACATCAGACAACTAACTTAGCAACATCAGACAACTAACATAGCAACATCAGACAACTAACCTAGCAGCAGAAGACAACTAACCTAGAAGCAGAAGACAACTAACCTAACAGCAAAAGACAACTAACATAGCAACATCAGACAACTAACATAGCAACATCAGACAACTGACATAGCAACATCAGACAACTAACCTAGCAGCAGAAGACAACTAACCTAGCAGCAAAAGACCAGACAGCAACGAAAGAAAATGCTCTCACTTCTCTCTACATTTCTCTCTCTAGTTTTTCCCCCTTTCACCTTCATACGCAACCTATTTTCCGCCACCACCGCCACTGCATAGCCGCCGCTCCGGTCGCTGCCGCCTCCGGCGGCCTGCCCCTGGGCCGCCGGACCTTTTTCCTTCCCTCGTTCATTGCCAGGCCGTTCATGTTATGGAAAAATCCACTCCCCCTTCCCTGTCTATATCTCCGTCATTCAACAATAATCTGGCCAACATAAAACCGACCCTCCTCAATATTTTCCAGCGACCAGACTTTCAACAATTTATTGAGTCTTATTTGGATAGATTCCCCCGATTGGAAGATGGGATTTTTACCTCTGTGACCGGTAATATGAGAGGCTCCGGCTCTGCCATTGCACATGGTTCAGGGCCCTCGGACAGTAGCTCGCCGGTCAACTCAGATCCCACACTCGGCGACATAGGGAACAGAAAAGCTATCTCGAACCTTCTCGAAAAAAATCAAGGAAAAAAGTTGGAAGAAGGGAATATCATAGAAGAAGGAGAAATTTGTGAAATTGCTGAGAAACATAGGGATGGGATTTCTGCTCCGGACCCATCCGTGAAGCTCTCGACGGAAAATATGAACACGGCCATTGCCGTCGCCGAACCGGGTAAGTCACTGTACATCGTCGCCGAAACGGGTCGGTCTGATTCAGTCATTGGCCCGCAAGGAAAACGAGACCAAACAGTCGGAACTAATGAACAGAAGGGTCTCGTCACGTCGTGCCCCCAGCCGGTGGATTTTGCTTCGCCGGAGACAATATCCGCTGCCGCTCGCTCGCCAAGATTAATTCCCCAAAGTGTAAATGACGGCGAATTTTTAGGGTACGGGTATAAGCAGCCATGTGATAAAAATTTGGGTCACCTTGTTGATTTGGGCCAAAATAATATACCCCCTCTTAAGCCCACTTTGGTTCCCACTTCAGCCCCCTCTAATCCAAATCAAATCTCCACACAGCCCGCTCAAACTCCTCAGCAGGCTCCTCAACCCGTCAAACCAAATACCATACCCATTATCCCACAGCCCACTCCTCAGCCCATCGACCCCGCAGCTGCCAACTTCACAGCGACTTCTCATCCCGTCGCACAACCGCAGGCCACCCTCTCCGGTCCCGCCCAGCCGATAGCCTCCGTGCATCCCGCAGCCGGACCTAGCGCCGGCGCCGGCGACTTCGCCGGAAAGTCCAAATCCGCCGGCAACAACTCCGGGAATATCCGTACGAATTTTGTAGGAATTCTAGGTCCCCGGCCAAGCACTCTTCCCCCGCCCAACCAACTCGCCGGAGCTGCTACCCTTGCGGCTGGAATTTCTGAACCGGACGTCATGAATATGAGAGAAGACGGTGTTGTAACTGGAGGCCCTAGTAAGACGACCACGACACACCTTCCCGGTCAACATCCAAATGGACACCCTGAGAAGGGCACCTCCACGGCCACACCCACTGGACCCGAACCTCAACCGGGCACCTCCACTGGCCCGCTTTCCTTCCGCGAGGCCATTACGGGTAAAAGAGACGGCGGACCGAGTGCCCCGAGGACTACACCGAAGGATTTTACTTTCGATGGAAATTACGAGCATGCTTGCGGGACCATTATCTGCTCGGAGGAGAACAAAGTCAAGGCCCAATTCACCGACGCCGAATCTGTCGCTCTTGCAGGTAAGCTGGCTAACACCCTGGTCTTTAAGTTTTCATATGCTATCCCCGCCCCTCGAGATATATCTGCTGGATTAAGGAAATTGGGTTTTAAGGGTAGTGTTTCATCGAAGTGGTTTAACTTTAACCACCTGTTAGTGTCTTTCCACCTCACTGAGGATTATAATGAGGTCTGGCTCAAGACCTTGATCCATTTGTGTGGATGCCCAGCTAGGGTGTTCAAATACTATGTCGGATTTAATCCGAAGACGGAGGCACCGATTGTCCCCGTCTGGTGCCGTCTTCCCGGCCTCCCACCCCACCTCTACGACCGCGCTGCCATCACTACACTTGCTAAGTGTATCGGGCAGCCGATTCGTATCGATGCCCACACGGCCCTTCAGACGAGGGCTAACGTGGCGCGATTCTGTGTTGAGATAGATCTCAGAGCGGAGCTCGTTCATGAGATCGAAATTGAGCAGGGCTCCGAGTCCTTTCTCCAGCGGGTGATATACGAAAAGATCCCCGCGTTCTGCACATTGTGCAGCCATGTGGGTCACATTGCGGCCGATTGCTACATTAGTGGCAATAAGCCACGACCCACGCTTCCGCAGCGCCATCGCTCTGCTCAGCCAGGGCCCTCCACCGGCAGAAGGGACCCCAAGGGAAAGGGCAAAAGCCCTATCCGTACGCCCGAGACCCTAAAGGGGTCTAAGGACAAGGGCAAGGCTGTGTCTGACGCCACTGCCCAAACTGGGAAGGACGCTCATCCTAACCAGCCTAAGCAGTCGGCCATAGTGGGGCCAAAGCCCAAGTCCACGGGCTTTCTCCCTAGACAAACCATCCAGACGGCTTTCAAGGCCAATCACTCGTACTTTGCCATTCTATCCCCTCAGGCAGAGGATGAGGACGTTCCGTCCACTAGTCACCATCCTAGGATTTCTGACCTTGCGCTCCTTGACGACGATGATCTTCTGGTCGACGATATGGACCAGCCGGAGGCCTCGACCAGGGGTGAGTCCATCCATTTGTCCGATGACAGTGCACGCGACGCTGACCCTCAGACCGTGCGTGCATCCAGTCCGGACCGCGGCCCTCTAGATTTGAGGGCTAGTGCCTCCACCGCTCCCCCGAAAGGGGATCAGTCGGTCCCTCCTCTCTCCCCGGAGATTAGGACCACGGCTGAGCATATAGCCAGCCCCCACCCTTCCTCTGGAGGCGAGCACATGACTGCCCCGCCGGCTGGACATCCTCTTTCTCCCATCCCCGAGCAGGCGTGCGGTCTTAACCGCGCTCAGCATGACGTCTCCTGCGAGAGCTTCGCGTCTAGTGCCTTTGTGCACCATGACAGACAGGAGACAGCCCCGGATATGGGGCAAGCCGCTAGTGTCGCTCTTGGTCAGATTGCCCAGCCAGACGACACACAGGCCACGAGCGCCATCCGAGGCAGGCAGTATACGAGGACCAGAGCCTCACAGCGCACGCTGCGGCGGACTGCCTCCCCTGCTATTGGATCATTTCGACGTCGCCCTGCTTTACGCAGCGCGACTCAGCCTCGCCACAGGCGGACTATGTCCAGTGGCTCTCGCGACAGTTGATATGTCAGTCACGTCCATTACTTGGAATGGCCGTGGCCTGGCGAACAGGGCTACCCTCTCTCACCTCCATTCTCTGATTCGTGACCACAGACTCGATTTTGTTGGCTTCATTGAGCCAATGATTCGCAATCCTTCGCTTGACTACTACTCGCGTCGCCTTGGTTTTCACTCGGGCGTCGGTAATATGTCGCATAAGATCTTCTTCTTTCACTCGCGTGATTACACTTGTCGGGTCCTCCGTGACACCGATCAGGTGCTTCACGTTGAGCTCTCCGCTGCCCACCTCCCGGAGCCCATCTATCACACCTTGGTCTATGCCAAGTGTACTAGGGTCGGGCGATATGATCTTTGGGACACCCTGCGTGAGATTGCCGAGAGTATGGAGGGATTGCCATGGATGGTTAGTGGCGATTTCAACATCTTTCTGCACCCTGATGAGCGCGTGGGTGGCCGCACGGACAGATCACAAGAGATGTGGGATTTTGCACAGACTGTGGCGGACTGTGAGTTGCTTGATGCTGGATGCGAGGGTGAGCCCTTCACGTGGATTAGGGACGACCTCAAGGAGAGGCTCGACCGTGCTTTGATTTCTGAAGCGTGGTCGAAGGTGTTTGCGGTCACGACCGTCACGCACCTCACTCGATTTGGGTCCGACCATTCACCCCTCCTCATTAGATGTCGCTTTTCGGGCACTCCTCGCCGCACTTCCTTTAGGTTCCAAAACATGTGGGTTCGCCACCACTCCTTCCATGACACTGTCAGGGATTCCTGGCTTCAGCCGACTGGGCTCTTCGGGATGCGCAATCTCGAGGCGAAGCTCGGCAGACTGCGGCATCGGTTGAGACAGTGGAACTGGGATGTTTTTGGAAACCTTCATCACCGCCTTACTGCAGCTTAGAGTGCACATGCGTCGGCTGAGCAGGCCTATGACCTGGATCCCACTCCGGAGAATAGGACCGCCATGCACCGCTGTCACGCCGAGTACCAGCTCCGACTCCTTATGGAGGAGGACTTCTGGAAGCAGAAGGCGGCCGTTCGCTGGGTGGCCGAGGGCGAACGGAATACTAGGTTCTTCCAGGGCTACGTTAGGCAGAAGCGTGCTAAGTCGTACATCCATAGTATCGAGGCTGATGGGTCATCCTTGACCCATGAGGCCCAGATCCGGGAGTTGGCTGTTGCTCACTTCCAGACCCTCTTCACCTCTGACAGAGGGTCCCTCGTGGCCCCGAACGTTTCTTTCTTCCCCACCATCCCTCTTTCGGTCGATCTCATTGGCCTCTGTGAGCTCCCGAGCAGAGAGGAGGTTAGGGATGCTGTATTCGGGATTGATCCCAACAGCGTTTCTGGCCCGGATGGGTTCTCCTCCCTCTTCTATCAGGTCTGCTGGGATATTGTCGAGACTGACGTCCAGGAGGCGATGTTGGATTTTTTCTCCGGCCACCGGATGCCGGATTCCTTCACGTCTACCTCTGTCGTCTTGATCCCCAAACGACCCAATCCAAGCTCTTGGTCCGATTACAGGCCCATCAGCCTGTGTAACGTGACCAACAAGCTCATTTCGAAGATTCTTAACGGCCGTCTTTCCTCTCTTCTCCCCTCTCTTATCTCTCCGAACCAGAGTGGATTCGTCAAGGATCGGGTCATTAGTGATAACATCCTTCTGGCCCATGAGATGATCCACGACATCTCCCGAGCGGACTGGAAGCGGGCTCCGAATATCGCGCTGAAGCTAGACATGGCTAAGGCGTATGATAGGGTTGAGTGGCCGTTTCTTAGGGAGGCGTTGGCTAGGATGGGATTCCCTGAGCGCTGGATCACCTTTGTGGAGGCGTGTGTGGAGCATTGCACGTTCTCGGTCCTGATTAATGGCAGCCCCACTGATTTCTTTCCCTCCTCTAGAGGCCTTAGACAGGGCGACCCTCTTTCCCCTTCCCTTTTCGTCCTTGTGGCGGACTACCTCTCTCGCTGCCTTGACGGCTTCATCCGCGACTCTCCCCACATGACCTATAGCACCCGTGGCTACGGGCCTACTGTCTCTCACCTTTCTTACGCGGATGACATCATTATCTTCACCCGGGCGGATGATGATGGACTGGTCGAGCTCATGCGCCTTTTGGAGCACTATGGCTCGGTCACCGGTCAGCTGGTCAGCGTGCAGAAGAGCACCTTCATCCTTTCATCTGCCACAGTGGACAGGTGGGCTCAGCGGGTCCACGACATTACTGGCTTTGCGCGTGGCGACCTTCCCATTACCTACCTCGGGGTCCCTTTATATAAGGGCAACCTCACGAGAGCGCTCTTTGCGGGCGTCAGACAGAGGATGATCGATAGGATCTCTGGTTGGTCGCATAGATATCTTTCTTTCGGTGGTCGGCTAGCGCTGATCAAGAGCACTCTTAGCTCTCTTCCGATTCACCTGCTTATGGTCCTCGACCCCCCTAGGTCTACTCTTGACGAGCTTGACCACATTATGGCTCGTTATTTCTGGGGTTATGAGGACGGGTCTGCGAGGGGGAGACGTACTCACTGGGTGAGTTGGGACTCTATCTGCCGCCCCTTCCCAGAGGGTGGCCTTGGCATCCGCCGCCTTAGGGACATTGTTACAGCTTTCTCATACAAGCTGTGGTGGCGCTTCAGGGAAGGAAAGTCGCTTTGGGCTCAGTACCTTCGCGGCAAGTACTGCCCTAGACGTGCCAACCACCCTTGTTGGGCCACGGCAGTTGATCATGATAGCAGACAGTGGCGGCGCCTCACTATGGTCGGGAGGCAGGCCCAGGATCACATCTTTTGGGTTTTGGGTAGGGGCGATGTCAGTGTTTGGGATGAGTGGTGGGTAGGTGATAGGTCGTTGTCTAGGGATAGGCAGGTGTCGCATTCCCCCTACCTGCTCGTGAGCGACCTCTGGACGGACGGGTCGTGGGATAGGGGGAAGCTTGATAGGGAGTTGGGGGCTGGTGCGGGTTTTAGTGAGCAGTTATTAGATCAGATCCAGCAGATCCCTATCTCGGGGGACGGTTCAGATAGCATGAGGTGGAGACTTACATCATCAGGTGTGTTTTCTACTACCTCAGCTTGGGAGCAGATAAGGCTGAGGGATCGGCATAATCTCCT